CCTGGGATGAATCAAACACCCCTCGGCCGGGTGTGCTGGCGCAGGCCCGTAATCCCAGCACTCGGGAGGCTGAGGCAGGAGGATCACTGTGAGTTCGAGACCAGCCTGGGCTACACAGTGAGTTCCAGGTCAGACTCAACTACGTAGTGAGACCCTGTCTCAACCCCTGACCCCCCCCCAAAAAGAGCCCTTCTCAAGCGGCCTCCTGCCTTCGAGGAGTCATGGAGAGCACCCAGGCGGCACTCAGGTCTGAGGCCCCCTTGGCCGTGATAAGAGCAGCAAGGCCTGCCTGTGGGGCCATCGAGTCCACATTAAACTATGTCTCCAGGCTTTATGTTATTATTATTTTTGTTGTCGTTTTGGTTTTGGTTTTGGTAGTAGGGATCGAACTAGGGACCTTGCACTTGCGAGGCAGGTGGCTGAACCACTGAGCTAAACCCCCAGCCTTCCTTTTTTGTTTTGTTGAGATAAGGTCTGGTTATGTAGCTCAGGCTGGCCTTGAACTCACAGCGATCCTCCTGCCTCAGCCTCCTGGCTCTGTCACTGCCCTGAATGTTGACTTTCGACTAAGAACACTGAGGTGTGAGGGGGGTACTGGGGTCCCAGGCCTGTTCCTTCGAGGTCCACAGCTCCTATGAAAGACACTGGGTTCCAGTACCAGCTCTACCCATTCTAGGCCCTGGAAAGTCACGTGTCCTCTCAGTGCCTCTGTCTCCCCTCTGCTTTAGGGAATTTCAGAGATGGGCAGCAGGACCAGGCAAAGAACTCCATATAGGGCACTGTGTGGGCACAGTGGCGCACATAAGGGTGGGAACAGGAATGTGTGGGGTGATCTGGCCTCAGTTTCCCTATCTTAAGGGATGCTAAAATATCTGTGCCTGGCCCAAAACACATGTTTGGCAGATGACGATGCTTCCAGAGAGAAGAGGCCTTCCCACAAGGCCTGGTACACAGCCTAAGGCTGTATGATGAACCTAGCACTTGCCTCTCCAGACTGAGGGGAGGATTCAATCAGCTAACAGGTCAGGTGTGGAGGTTCATGCCTGAAGTCCCAGATAACTGGGAGGCTGAGGCAGAAGGATCTCAAGTTTGAGGCCAGCCTGAGACACTGTCTCAAAAAAAAAGGAGGGGGGCTGCGGATAGAGCTCAGGGGTGGAGCCCTTGCCTAGTGTATACAAGGCTCTGGGTTCAATTCCCATGACGTGCAAAAACAAACCGGATCAGGGATGAGACAGCAGAACCTAGGGCTCCCCCTCCCTCCCCTCTGGGGCCTCACCTGTCCGTTCTCCTCATCCGACGACCGCGCCTCGGTCCTCTTCTCCTTGAAGGCCCAGACGGGCACAGACACGGGCAGGGACTTGGCGTACTGCTGCGTGGGCAGGGCTGAGGCGGGGGGCATGGAGCAGGCCGGGGGGCCAGCGGGGGCGTCCTCGCTCAGGCTGCCGTCTGC